TGTAAAACAGATACACTGATCGCTTGTTAACAGAGTACATAATTATAATTTTAACTTTCAGCCATAAAATTTCAGCTTTTAATTCGCACTGAAATAAATCAACATGCTGTCAGCCAGAGAGCATTCTGAAAACAAATTTTCCTTGTTTGGCGTTAGTACAGGATCAGAAAGAAATGAGGGGCAAACTTTTTTTCATATTTTCGAGTTTTGTAAAGGTTATTTACTAATAGATAGAAATAACTCTTTTCAACTTGCATGTCATTTCAGTACCAAAATAAGCAGGTTATTATTTAATATATTATGTAGAAGATTACAAGAAACCCACCCTTTTGGGCAAAGTCTATAAAAGTTGTGTGACTCAAAAAGGAAAAAAAAGTGAAGAAAAGTTAGTGCGCTGTTGGGAGCTTACATCAATTTTTTTAATTTTTTTTTTTTAATTTGCCTGACAGACATCTCCAAAAAGGAGGGACTGCTTGTAGTCTAATTATGAAGAAACCAAAATCTGCAAAATTATTTGAATAAACACCAACCTAACTCTTCTTGAGTGGATTTGCCATAGCCCTGTCCTTTGTATCCATCAATAATATCAATTAACTCTTCTGCTTGAACATCTAGTCCACCTATTTGAAGGTCTTCATTGATTTTCTGGTAAAAATATGCTGCATCATCACACACGTTTACTGCATGACACCTGTGAATAAATGACAATGATGTTACTATTAAAGGTCTCAATTAGTCTCTAGTGTTCAAAGAAAATAAGGGAAAATTCTAGAAAGATTTAAAGGCCTGTGAGAAATTCTCCAGAACCACAATCTCTTTGTCTGAAGTCTTAAGCATGTATAGCTTAGGTAGTTGCAGAAATTTTTTATCAGCCTATAGGTCAAGAGAATAAAGCTTTTTCATAACATTCATGAAATAGTTTGTCAGGGGTTCTTGAAAGGTGATATAGAATTTCAATGGAAACTATAACAAAATACTCTAATGTGATTGGTCATCACCAGCCCAATTTAAGCACAAATAGGACAGTGTATGTGTCATGCTTCTGTCTGAACAGTGTAATAGGACAGTTGATGCGTCATGCCTGTATGAGTCGATAGCATGTGTCATGTGCACACCTTGTTATGAAAACGCACAACCAATACATCTAGTTTCTTTCTCAAATTTGTCAGTTTTGATAAATTGGTGACAGGACTTAGTGTTAACATTAATATAACAGACTCCCACTTCAAAGTCAACAGATTGTATTAATCACTTGTAAGATAACAGACCGAATTGAATTCCACTCAGTCCTATTATTTCTATTATTATTATTATTATTATTATTATTATTGTTATTATTATTTTTCCTAAGACCAGTAAATCCCTGGATGTAAATTTAATGAAAAAAATTTTAAAAAAATCAAACCCTTTAGATGAAGAAAAGCAATGGTGGCAGTGGTGCCATAAATGATTGCAGAGCTCTGTATATGCAGGCCTCCTGAGATGCAAACAGCAAGAAGAAAAGAAGACAAAGAGTGCTGGTCAAATGATAAAATCCCTAATGACTAAGTGGGGACAAGCCAGACTGGAAAATATTTGGCTCCTGGTCATAATGAACAGATTGGTCAGAGAGAGGTCTATATGTCATGACCTTGAGCCAAATTTTTTCTTGTCCAGCCCTCCCACACAGTCAAGAAAGAAAATATCAATATTTTTATTTAGAGCTTACTTGAGTTTTGATCCTGTTAAATAGTTACCAATGGCTATTCCTGATGCACTTCCACCACTGCCAACTGTAACAACAATGTCATCAAAATTCTTCAGCACATTCTGAAACAAACAAAGCCAGCTTTTTGACAGATATCCAGAATAAAATATTTTAACAAACAGGCTTTTGTGTGATCAGTGTTTAACTGCATTCATCACCTCTTGACCAGAAATGCACAAAATGAGCACACAATGCAGAAAAAGCTTGTAATTTTACCTGATCTATCATTTCTTGAAATGCTGTTAAGTAACCAAACATCCCCATGTAAGAGGAGCCTCCAACTTCAATCAGATAAGCTGATGAGCCCTGTTCTTTCCTGAAAAAAAAGCAAACAAAGTCAGTAGGAAGGAACTTCAACATCTACAAACATGCCTTGGCATACATGCTGGGTTTTCATTGAGAAACAGAAGTAGGTGAGGCAGGTAAGTAAGCAAGTAATTTGAGGAGAATATTCTCCATATCTGGGTCAAAAATAACCTAGCCCATCAAAACTTAGTTCAAGAATTCTCCAATATCTGCTGCCTTCTTTACTCACTGCATAATAATTATAATAACAACTCTCTTGAGTTTTCCTAGCATTTCCCCAGAGTCATACAAAAGAGCAGAATCTATTGGTCTCCTGAGTGGTTTATATGACCTCCTGGCCAACAAGATACTTTTCTTAAAGAATGCTTTAAGTGGCCTAAAGAATGGTTGACCTGTTTTATTCATTCCTCTCTTTCTTTTTCACCTTTCTTTTTCTTCACTCATAATTTATTAAACTATTTATTATTTGTTCATTCATATTGGGCTTCTTGTATCCAGTTGCTTTCAGATTGTGGCAGAAGACTGGGACAAAGCAGTAAATTATCAAACTAAGGGGAGAGGGAATGGGTCCAATCCATAATAGTCCATTTTACAGGTGTGTGCTTGGTTTCCAAGCCTTTCAACAGGAGTGAGGCTAAGGGTAACCATGTTATGATACAAACCTTGCTGCTTCTCAAATGTAAATTGCTTTGTTGTTAAGCTAACCAGGTACTGGTCTCTATCACAACAAGGTCACCTACAGCCTCACTTCAAATCAAAGGCTTGGCAACTAAATACAGAACTGTAAAAAGGCCTAAACTTCTCAAGATTTCTGACATTCTAAGATTAGCACCTAAAAGGCTGCATTGTAGATATGACTCAATTTTCAATTCCTTTAAAAGGAACCAACTTGAGAGCCATGCAATAGCAGCTCCTGTAATATTTTTGCTTGCCTTCATGTTTTAGAAGATGCACTAAGGTGGTGGCCATCATGATTTTCATCAGTTTACACCCCAAAGATGGTACTGTTCAACTAAAATGTCCCAGGCATTACAGTAAATTCATGCAGTTTTTTTAAGCCTTTCAAGCAAGTTTTGCCAGTGAGATCTATCCCTGCAACTAAACCTGTTACTAGTAAATTAACACATAGTCAATTCCACTGTAAAATGGCTGCAACACAAATTTCTTCAAAAGAATTTCAATATTTTCATTGGCAATTATAATACAGTGAGCTGGTCCATTACCGTCACTTAGTGACAGCTCTGTTTAAAAGTAAAGCCTAATGTCAGTTTGAGGAAGATTACTTTTAATGATTGCAACCATAGTAGTGCCAACTTGCTAGGTTTTACAGTTCTCTGACCTTTCACTTACAATTTTTCAGACACTTTCTCCATCATTTGTTTAAGGCCAGATTTGTACTGAAGCTGAGGAACAACAATAATTTGACTTCCAACCAATTTGTTTAAAAACAGGTTTCCTTCACAACCAATATCTGTGGTCTGCATGAAGAAAAAAAGATCAAATGAAAGTTTCAATAAGTTTATTAACTTTCTTAGAGTTTCACCATCTATGTAAGGCAAAATTGGTGCCTTTTTCTCTGAAATGAGCAACATTAGAGTAAAGATTGAACTTCTGTTAGCAGCCTATTATGCAGTTTTTTCTGTCTGGTTCAAATCTCAAAGAGACATCTGCTCAACTATAGTATGTAACAGTGTAATTGTGAATCTTGTCATCTCATCTTCATATGAGTCCACTGTTCAATGCAATGTGAGGAGCTTCTATTTCCCAAACAGATTCCATCTTTTGCAAATAAAAAAAGCAAAGATTGTAGGTTTTGAGCTTGGTAAAGAAATATAGAAAGATGTTTTTTCGTCTTGTTGCGAGTGTGGGAAAAGAAAAAGTGCTGAGATTCCATGTTATTGTGTGTTTGTCGAGTTGTTGTTGGTAATAGATCACATGGACGCCACTCTTTGTCTGATTAATCATAACTTGTGCTTAGGGGTAACAGATCTTTGATCATGACTCAAGCTGCTTAAAATCTTCTGTATCAGTTCTTTCCTAAAAAGTCAAGAGTAAATCAAATACTTGCCTGTTCAGGACTTCTTAAGAACAGGTAACAATCCAAACCAAGTTGTCTTGCAGCAACTGCAGTGCTTCTGCAATGATTGGACTGGATTCCACCACATGTAAATATTGTGTCACACTTCTTGTCCAGGGCATCAGCCAACAAAAACTCCAGCTTACGAACCTAAAACAATATTGGCATAGCTGAATGAGACAAGCACAATTTAAGGTTACTCAGCAGTTGAGGATGCACTTAACCCTTTACACACTCAAATCAGTATACATATTCTCCATACTGTTCTGTATACATTTCCTAAAGTGCTGGTGCAAGGAGAATTTGTCTAACAATCAAGAGCATCTTGAAGCAGGTGATCATTTGCCTTATGCCCATGACCTCAATGTGCAATCCAGGCATGATTTGTTTGGAGAAATTAGATACTATAGTCACTGAAAGGGTTAGTAAGAAAAACATATGAGATGACTTTGACCACAGGTACAGACGCAACTGAAGCTATGCATTTCCATATAATTTATGGTCACTTTATTCAGATGATTGCAAGGTACTTTTACATTACTCTCATTTGCATTAGAACTGGTATACTCTCTTTTGCATTTGTTTTAGCATAACAGCAGCTTCCACATTGCAATATTTTCAAACAATAGTGATCATCCACAGATTTTCATCGCTCACATGCAAAACTCTAGGTTGAACCATCTTCAGCTATCTCTTGATTGAGACCCTCAGCTATACAAAAAAATATCATAAGCTGTAAGGGCTTAAATTTGAGAGGATAAAAACTTGAAAACCAAAGTAGCTGTCACTGTAAAAAAGATGTCTGTACGCTCAAAACAGGCTAGCAAAAATGTAATCCCTATCACAGTGGACTTCCTCTCTCTTTCGTGTGAGCAGTTTAATTACTACATACTGCATTTATCAGCATCATGATGCATTCAATGCTTCGATCACAGTTGGAAATTTTAAGTGAACCAGACACATCCTTTTGAATGTTAACCAGTTCTGATGCAAAATTGTGAATTTTAGAATGATATAAATAATACTCTTAGACAAGCACGAAAACATGTTTCTGTTTTCTAAAATTAAAAAGGTCAGTTACCATACTATTACTTACAAGAAATAAATTGGATTTTAAATAAACACTGCCCTTGTAAAAACACTACCCTAGAATAAACGCTGCACTCGAATCATGAAAAATTAATAAACCCCGCTGGGGTTTTGAGTAAATATGGTATGTGTCATCATCCTTTGAATATCACAGTCATAGTAGAGGATGGATGCCAAACAAACTGTTGTCTAGTTTTCCTACTGAACTCAAAGGAGAGTTCTTCATTACAACACAGGCATTCCAAATAAATTGTGCAACCTCTTGCCTGGATCTCCTGTGACTGCACCAACCTCTAAGGTTCATCTTACTGAGCTCACTTATTGTTGATGAAGTTAGTACCACATCTTAATATTTATTAATTAAAGATGTTGATCAAGAACTGAATTCCAAGCTGTGTACCTTATTTCCAGACAGAGTACTTCCTGTCATGTCATCCCTTTTAATAAATAATGAAAACTCTTTTGGGAGACTGGGAAGATTCCACTGATGTATTGGAGTATCACGCTGAGCAAGCTACAAAACAAAAATACTTAAAGTTCCATCAGAACCACTTAAAAGAGAACAGATTAAAATTGCATATGTTCCGATCTAAAATAGATCTTTCCTTGTTGACATAATTTTTTCCATGGCCTACAAAAATGTTTAAGATCCACATAACAGAGGTTTTAGATGATAAACTTTTTATTACTTTCCTTTTGTTCTATTAGTGAGAAGTTAGTCAGTCACATGCTGACTGCAGACCAGTACAGTGGTCTCTGTCCATAAATAATGCTCAGAACAAGAATAAGGGGGTGTACGTCTTAGATACATTTTTATATTTTTTTCGGGGAAGAATGCCTCCTAACTCCCACCCACCCCCCCCTCCCCACCCTACCCCGTTCCCAGAAAGGTGATGGCCGAGCGCGGTATCACACTCGATGGATATGTGGTGGAACATTTCACCCTTTACCAGAAGTCAAACTTGAGAGCTCTGAATAAAGCTTTTTTTATATTTCCTTACCTTAACGTAGTATCGTGGAATATTTTTCAGCTTGGAGGCCCATTTTGGGGGCTCGTAGTGGTTAAGTTAAGTTAGCTTGTTTATGCCACGATGAAGATTCCTACTCATTCTCGAAGAAAGTAGACACTACCAGCCGAAGTTCAATAACCAAAATCATGCCATATATTGAAAAATTCGGTTACAAATTTATATAATTTTGCAACATTTGTCGATGCTTGTGATCGACTTTGATTGATGTCAGCGGACTTTGGGAGACAAAATATTCTTCATGTAAGAGAGCCTCAAAATTCTATTAACATCGAGCTTGAGATGCCTGTCAATTCAAACTATAGCTTGAATCCTACGCATCGCCGTGCGTTCACCAGACTTCGTAGAGCATATCAGACAAAACTTGCCTTTTTTAAAGTGTTTTTATTCTTTGTTGAACTGCTCGTGGTCTCCACCCCACCAGCTACCTTTGCATAATAGATCACAAGCTTTCCTACGTTAAAAACATTTACGGAAAAAAAAAGCAAATCTGTTTTCTACTTTGAAGTCAATTAGTCAGTTTGAGCAATCAGCTGCGCTTCAGGGGTGCAAAAGCTTTTGAATAGTAAGCTGTTTGTTACCGTAAATTTTGCATAGCTAAAAGCCCCCAGGGTAGAATATATTGCGTTGTGCCAGCGGACAATGGTTGACTTTTCAAAACAACTCTTATTTGATGGAAACTGTTAATTGCAACTCTATTGTGCAGTCTTCTTTGTTTTTATTCTTTCAGCTTGGTCATGACGCAATTAGATTTCTCTTTTATGTTTCTTTAAATGCGGCTTAACTCATTTTTTTGAAATTATAACCTCGAGGCTATTTCACAGGCGACCGTGAAATAATTTCACTAGGAGCACACTTCTGTTCTTAGTTCGGCAGCGTTTTTGTCTTGTTTATTGGGAAATGAATATGCATATTAGATGCTAAAGTGTTTGTCAAAACAGAAAACTATTCACACTCTTCGCTAGGAGATCATCCAACTGTAAGAACCAATAGAGCTCGATCTAGTCTCTGTAATATTGTGGAAAATCGTACTTCAGCTCCCACGAGAAAAAAGCTTTCACAAGCCGAAATTTAGACAGGGTTTTGTCTGGTAATTATACGAAATGCTGAAAAAGTTTTCTGTCGCAAACGCTCCGCCTCGCTTCGATTTGGGTCAGGTACCAAATGTTGGAGAGGAGAGTGATTCCCACGTGTTTTGCCACGGAAAAACAGCAAAACTACACTCGAGAATTGGAGGTTTTCAAGATGAAAAACAGGTCAGTACATCACGGTGTCTTTGATAGCAAAACAAGTTTATTCTAGTTATCATATCCGAATATGGTCTGTGGCCAGATACTGCTAAGAGCTGAGACCAGCCGAGTTTTACTCATGTAAATCGCTGACCGCACAGAAAATTTCTCGGTCGATATTTCTTAGCTATGCACGAGTCACAAAGACCATTTAAGGAATTAAATATTTTGAGTGAAATGCCTACAACGCGAGAAATGGAATCGAAATAAGTATTTTGGTTCCTATATTTTATCGACAAAAATAACTACACTTTAAAAAACTTATCAGTTCCTCGACTACAAAATATTTCATGGTATTTTCAAATTGAAGTACTTTTCAAAATTTCGTGCTCTAATAAATTACTGCGGATTTGTTTTGTTAGAGCTTAGATATTTCATTCATCGCATTCGAATAAACTTTATCAATTAGGTACAATCAATTTTCCTATGAAAGAGCACAGTTGAACAATTAGAATGAAAACCAGCCATAATTCTAAACGTTAAGAGGAACTTAAGAGTTCTGTCGAATCACTTGCGTGCATATCGTGTGTGCTTGTAAAGTGCTGTTGTCTACTTGAAGTGGTTTTGCGAAAAAATCTGTGAAATGTAGTCCTGTGGTTTTTTATAACCCCACAGATTCTCTCGTTGATTAACTATGAATTTCCTATTGTTTTGACTTTTAACTGAACAATCATGCAAAGCATTTTAACGAGTTAATTTTAGCGCCTGCTAAAATGTGGTATTATGAACACAATCCCGCCTCAAAGAAAAGAATCAACTGAACACAGCTTGTTATGTCTTGAGCTATCACGTTTTCACCATAATCAATTGTAATCGGCTCACGCAGTTTTTTCTCGAAATATACTAGAGCCTATTTCGTCATTTTCGCACTATTATGTCAATAGTCTCCTAGTTACAGTCATAAACATGACATACAAGAACTTGGCATCCAAGTGTGAAACTGCTGTAAATCTTTTAATTCAAATTAAAAAGGTGTTTCGAGCACGTAAAAGAAAAACAGAAAGAAAACAACAAACCCTTCCTGAATAAAACCCAAAAGCTTGTATCTATTTGAAGTAATGATCCACTTTGGAATTTCTAACTCTGCTGTTTACCAATACTACTCATAATAATTTGCTTGACTGGTCATGGCTTCGCAGTCCTAAATTAAGGTTATTCTTTTCAAAGACGTCGATGAAAAAAAACAACCCACAAGATGCTTTTAAGACACTATGTAGATTTGACAACTTCTTTTGGATCAACTTTTACTATGCAATATCTGGTATGAGATACTCAGAGCGCCCTGATTGATCAAAAACCTATCGTTTATAGCACTGATAAACCCGTGGAAGATTGAAGTTTACAGTATTTAAGATGAAAGCAACAGACAGCTCTTTCTATCGGTTTACTGAAGTAATAACCCACTTGGGAAGTTGGGAGAACGCTCAAAAGTTTGTCTAACTTTCCTCGTATTTTCCATCTGTTCTGTCGGGAGTTTAAGAAAACCACAACGGCAACGGCGACGGGAACGTCAGCAAACAAAGAATTTAATTAATGAGCAGAACAATAGCTATGCACGAGCGTTATAAATATTTGTAAATTTTTATTTGTCCTCTGCAAAACAACAACGTGAAACGACCAAACTTTGCGTTGTCTGATGAGGGTGGACGACGACTAATTTTTTAAATTTCTTCTTCTTATTTAACGCTTTGTTCCATATTCAGGTTCGAGATAGTTTTGACAGTAAGAAGCAAACCAAATGACTTAAGAGTATCGCGAGATTCGTAGGTAAAATATAAGTTTATTTTTTAACCGACGTTGTCCTCGGCGTCGCCGTCGTCGTTTCTTAAAATTAAAGGGACCTTAAACAATCAGGACGGTAACGCCAAGAAAGACTTCGATTAAAAAATGAATTTCTGCCTTTAATTAGAATTTCAAAAATGTCTGCATTTGTTTACCGTCTCTAACTGCGCCACACCTCAACTTCAGCCAAACGTTTAAAAGAAGCGTTGAGTTCCAAATGGAAATTAAAATGATTTGCCGTCGCTTTCGCAGACGACCCAATTTAAGAAATGTACAAAGTCTTAAAACGCACGTGCTGAGCTATTGTTCTGCCAATTAGATCTTTTGTTTTTTCCATGTCCTCCCTAAACTCGGTCTTACTCCGGTATAAATCCTAATTAGCGATGAGGGTAATAACCACGTTTTTTGACAACATCGCCTGTTTTCTTAAATGACCGTAACTGATTGGAATCTTGTCACTTCAGCTCTACCGAAACAGCCTGTTCTTGTTTGATGGTGATACTAATCAAAAAATACCTTCGGCAATTATTGTACCCAACCAACTCCGTAAAATTATAAACGGGACGACTAATTACCGCAGTGTCTACAACTTAGTGAGCGAGTGAGTGCATGATTTATTTGCATATCGGAGTCCCGTATGAGTTAAAAATATAAGATGATCTAATTATGGTTAGGTATGACCCTTCCAGTCGTGTTATGAACGCTTTTGTTACCAGTAAAACGCGTCTATGCTTTCATAGCTCAGAACTGACTTTTAGCGAGGACGCTGTCGCAGAGGTAAAATATTCGCACCAGATTTCTATTCTTGAAAGATAATTCAAGCTTCGTCTTCATCAGTTACTACACGATAGAAATCTTAGGTTCATACTTTAATGGTTGAAAAGCTCTGACAAAGGGCTAATTATAACGCTTGGGACGTCAGCTTTACAGTGGCCAATTCATATTATCAACCCAGTTGATGAAACCAAATTATCTTCAATAATTACCCCAACCAACGCAGCACCACAGTTTCTCTCTAAACTTACCCCCTTCATTCAGTGCGTATCGTAGCCAATCAGGTTGCTGCATTTGTGGTAGAAAGTTATTAGCTCTATACTAACAAACAGTATACTGACATCCAGGGAACAAGACTGAGGAAGGTGTCCCTGATGCCACCCATTCCATCAGCAAGAAATTCACCTTCCTTTAGCAAAACGTCAGGTTCTCGAGGTAGTGATGGATTGCAAACATATTCCGAGAATGACCTGGATCAGAACAACGACGACATGTATGGACTCAAGGTTTTTGGTGAAACTGGCTATCTGGCGATGAATTCTGGGAAGAAAAGCACGGCTGAGAAACTGAGTGACACTGGATTCCAGCTTTACACTTCTAACGACTCTAATAAACTTCCAAAAATCTTAAAACCCAAGAAAAAAGTCAGCAAGGGCTCGAAAAGGAAAAAGACAAATGCTATGAACGATGGAAGTCAAGGAAGCCAAGGCAGTGATTTTTATGCTCAGTTGGGAGGGACAGAGGATGACAAAGGTAATTCAAGTGAATCAGCTGCAGGACAAGATAGTGGAGAGCTTATCAACAAATATGGACTGGACCTTAAAAGAGATTTCAGTAAGTTATTCAGTTTCTGCAGTTATTGTCGAAACTCAAGGCAGTGCACCTAAGCGCGATCCAAACGCCACAAATATGATTATTAAAAAGATTAAAAAGAAGAAACGATAGGGGGGGAGGGGGGGGGGTTAAGGACAGAGAACCTTACGGGACTGGCCTGCGTATGAACCGATTCCACTCAAGCTATTTATAGAAAATCTCTTTACCGGAAGTTTCCCGAGACGTTCACACAATGGTTAACCTCAATCCGATTTTCTGATCGAGAGCTATACAAAAGTAGACTGTTTAGGAGTCAAGGACAGATGTTAGATCATCTTCACTCTCACTGTATCTCAGTGGCGGAACATCATACATGTGCCATACACCCAAATCGATTGGTCAACCCTCAGAAGTTGTACATTTTTTTTTTTTTTTGAAAGGACCTTGTTTGCACAATTGTTTACCACTGTTGGCTTGCAAATACGTTCTTGAACAACGCTAGCTGGCGCGATTGGTCTGGAAATGATAATTAGTGCAGATCCATGAAGACCTCTCGCAGACTTGCTCTGCTCAGGTGTAGAAACGCTCATGCACTCTTTATGCGGGCCTGCGCGCTGGCTATGAAAAATTTAACATTTGTTTTTAGCGGACTCATGATCTGATGAGTGCATTAACCCTTCAACTCCCATGAGTGACCTAAAGAGAATTTCTCCTTACAATATCAATGCAATATTAAGCAGACAAGTGATGAGAGTAAAGAAATATAACGATTAGCGGATTTTTAGTCGATCCAATGCCAAATTCTCCAAACTAACATTATAGGAATTGCATGGCAGATAGTAAGGAGAATTACTGATCAGATCTTGGGAGTGAAAGGGTTGAGAGTAGGTATATCAGAGATATTTTGTTCTCTTTCTAACGGTTTTTAACTTCTTTTGTTTTTTCAGATATGGAAGTGACAAGGCCATTTACCTTTTCATATTTTCCTGAAATTCATATCAAGAAAAAGAAAAAAGGGGGTGACAAGGAGACTGGGAAGAAAATACAGCGAAAAATATCTAAGGTTAAAACGCCTTCGAGCCTCTCTTGAGCCAGCGAAATGCACCTGAGAAATAACTTTTTAGATTTGCCAAGCCAGCGGTTATCAATACTGAGGTTCTGATTGTATGAGCAAAGCTCTGCAGCACCGAAAGCGCCACTCCGTTACAACTCAAAATAGAATTCCAATAACTTCGACTCTTACGGGGCTGGTTGCTTTGTTTCGCCTGGAGGGGGTGGGGGTTTGGAGGATTTTGCTTGTTTCACGATGATAAAGCTCTGTAAAATCCTTATCCTTAATCCTTAATCCCCCCCCACCCCTCATTGGCAGTCAATCGGCAGTCAATTTTCTAAAGTTCCCTTCTTTAAACTCTATTGCTCCCCCCCCCCGACCTCAGTTCTTCGTGAAACCATGTGATCCCAATTCCTCCACCCTCCCCTCCCCTCCGGGCGACAAACTTTGACTGGTCACCAACGTGGAAATGAATTTGTTATCAGGATATACTAGGCACTACCATCCTCAACTTATGTTGTCTGTGGCAATAATACAAATTCTTGTATTCCATGACCAAAGAGAACTCCTGGGATGGACGATAGAAGCCCTGATTAAAATAATAAATGTCGAGCACTCTTGACCACTTCTAAGAAGTTCAATTAGACATTTAATCTTGTGCCAAGTCAGCGTCTTTAAAATCAAGCGTATTTCATAAATAATTCACGAATGATTTAATGCCCAGAAAGGGTAAATGAGATGTTCCAGTACCATTAGAAATATATCCAATTTATTATATTCCTTGTATAAAAAGATTTTCCACGGTGTGAGTCTCTAACATCTAAATTCCAACCCCCATTTTGTTTCCCTTTGCCTGTTCGCAAACGGGCCAAAACTGAGAGCTGTTGTTGTTTACCATCTCTAAATAGAACCCTGGAAACTGAGAATGGGTGTCACAACTTCACCATCAACGACGAAAAAAAATCCTGCCAGAAACCCTAAACGAAATATGATCCGCTTTCAGAGTGTCGCGTTGTTCGCTTTTGAAAGCGCGCCATAATTATGTTTTTCCCTCGGGTGGCCTGGAGATAGCAAAATGCAAATAAGAGATGATCTGGGTACAAACGTATATTATTGTCAATCAAAATGGCGTCCACTCCAGCAAGCAGCGAAGTAGATCCCGAAGAAGATGCCGGGGAAATAAGATTGGACGTGCACAACACCGGACAAGCTGCCGAATATCCCGACTTTGCAATAATCTGGTCGTTTCTGGTGAATTTTAAACACCTTTTACACTTTCCTGACCTAACTTTGGACAATTTGGAGGATGGGTTTAACAACCATTCGCCGGAAAATGGTAATTGATGTCAATTTCTTCATTTAGTTGTAAATTTCAGGACTTGTTTCTGCAAAAACGGACGAGTTCTTTTACTTCAATGACACATGATGACACTTTTGAAGGCTTTCATAGCCTTGCGGTTTTGTTTTTAGGCTGCAAATGACAACGCCTTATGCAAGATCGCTTATATTCGTGTGATACGGCGAAGCTTTTGTTAGACGCGCGAACAAAGCGCTTTTATTTCAAACAGCTGCAGAATTTCACTGGAGTGTCAATTGTGACTTTTTTGACGATTTTAGCTCGGATGACTTTGTAGTTTCCAGATTAACGTGTAAATACTATGGTTATCGTTTTGTCTTTACCTAAGAAATTACTTTTGCGTGCAACGTTGTGGATTTCTCGATCATCGTTATGCGGTGAAAGCAATTCGGTGTCAAGCGTTATATTTATAAATACTATGACTACATAAGAGTCCATGTTTTTATGCATTTTGGGCGAGTTTGAATTTTTAATTTTGTGCTTGGATTGTTTGGGTTCGATGCTGTTATAACGATCTTGTGGAAATTTCGTCTTAATGTTATCTTAAACGATTATCTTTTTAGTCTATGTTGTAATTCGATAAGTCCTTGTAAGAAAAATCCAGTTCTTGTTTTCGACTCATAAACTAATCTTTCAGTTGTCTTTGATCTCCTTTGCAATGTATATAAGAAGGAGTTGGTGTTTGTGGGAATTTTTTTTGTGATTTATCTACTCCAGTTCACAATTATAGTTAAATCTTCAGTTAAAAAATGAATATGGTTTAGTTGGATCTCACATTTTGTAACTTAAACTTTATTTTCACTCGAAAAATTAAAAGACTTTGGTGACCTCCTTTTGGGAGAAGTCCAAACAATTGTCTTTCAATGAACTCCTGACTGAAAGAAATAAGTGCCTCATACCTCTCCCCTCTTTTCTTAGTGAGTTAGGGGGGAGGGGAGAGGCAGAAACTTGCTCCAAACAGCTGGAGAAGAGGCCAGAGGTTTAAGGCTTTTTTGTGGGTAATTTTTTTTTTATTCACACAACTGTTACTAAGTGAAGTTTATCGAGATATGTAGTAAAGTTGTGCCTGTAATTTCTTTCTATTTTCATGAATTGATTGTTGACTAGCAGAAGATTGTGGAAGATATTATCTAAAAGGAAACTGTAAAAGCAAAAATTACATAAATCTCTCTCAACTTTCTTTATTTTTGCTTTATGTAGCATTAAGGGTTTTAAGGTGAATTTTTAGATCTTTGATTACTAAACAATCTTTCAGAAGTTCTTTTGATTTAACCAGTATTAACCTTTGGTAAGATTGTACAGCAGTTGTAAATTTTAATACAAGTGAAGATGTCGCCCACGTCATCAAACAATCTACCAAATGATGTTATTCCTTGCTTTGTAAAATGGACTGTTTTATAATATTACTGTTTTTGGTCAACAGTTGGACATCTTTGAAATTGTTGTTATGTAGAAAGCTTTAATGCAATTTGAAATGAATTTCTGCTCAAAACTGCCACAACTAGTTGGATATGTCTTTCACTTTATTCTAGATAAGTGACAAAGACAGAGTTTCTCCTTACAATATCAGACAAGTGATGAGAACAAAGAAAAATATCAATAAGGAGATTATTAGTAAATCCAGATTCTCCAAATTCTCTGAACTAACATCATAAGAAATGTATGGCATTCAGTAAGGAGAGTTACTAATGAGATCTTTGGATTGAAAAGGTTAAAAATAAAAAAACAGGAACCAAACTGGTTTGAATTCATTTTAACCTGAACTAATTTTAAACTAGAAAAACTATGTATTTCACGTTATTTTGATCACACATATATAATTTTATATTTTTGCAGGTAATGTTGAGATGTTAGTGGAATTATATGTGAAGCTTTTGAGACGATTGGGGATCTCTGTTAACGTGGAAAAATGGGAGAAATCTTTACTGAAGGTTTGTGTTAAGAGCATTAATTCAAGAGAGTAGTAATGCCTTGTACAAGTTAACCCTTTAACTCTCATGGATGTCCAAGATAGAATTTCTCCTCACAGTATCAATAAAATATCAACCAAATAAGTGATGAGAATAAAGAAAAATCTAAATTTGTGGATAATGAGGTGATCCAATACTAAATTCTCTGAACTAATATTATAAGAATTGTATGGTTGACAGTAAGGAGAATAACAAATTTAATCTGGGAGTTAAAGTGTTAAAAACAGGCCCTTGATCTGCTCTTAAACTGTTTTGATGTGATCCCATCACTATGAGCACATTTGTCAAGTCATGGTCTAATGTTTTTAAAGCATTTTTTGCAAACCAAACTTAATTATTTTAGATTTTGCTAAATCATAATCCTTTAATGATTTGTGCTCTGGTAAAAATATTTCGAGGACATGCTCTAGAAAATGTCTTTAACCCTTTAACTCTCAGAAGTGATTAACATGTAACTTCTACCTATAATATCCATAAATTATCCAGCAAACAGGTAATAAGAATACCCAAAGTTATCAAGGAGAAATTGTTATCTTCATCTAACACCAAATTCTTGTCACTAATTTACAAGGAAATGTGTAGCAGCTAGAGGGGAGAATTAACAATCAGATCTTGGGAGTTAAAGGGTTACTTAGAAATCGCTTTGTTGTCGCTGAATACTGCTTTGATAACCCTTTAAGCCCTGTGCGTGAATTTGTTGTGAAAATTCTCTTGACTTATCTCCCATTATTGTCCTCTATAAATTATTATGAGAATTTGATAAAGATCAGGGGAAAGTCACTTTGTTGGTTACTGGTAACTCTTTGATTCTCTTCATATTTTACTGGTAATTCTGATGATGTGCTGATAATTTACTGTGAGGTGAAATTTGATGGTGACCACTTTTGGGGCTTAAGAGAATATTTGAAACTTTTTAAAAATTTTTATGCTATTTATTGAGCAGCCTTTACTCTCTTGAGCATGCACCCAACCCCAGCCCCAACCATTCTCTCCTTATTTGAAACAAGGACCCTCTCTGTTCCTCCTCCAGAAGAAATTGGTATTAATATTGGGCCATGGCATTCTCCATGCTTTTTCAATATTAGCCATAAAACCTTACTGGTAATTATCAGTGATTATGAACTCTACTGATACATTTAACCCTTTAACTCCCATGAGTGACCAAGACAGAACTTCTCCTTACAATATCAATACAATATCAAGCAGACAAGTGATGAGAATAAAGAAAAATATCAGTCAAGGGATTATAAGTTGATCCAATACCAATTCTCCAAACCAACATCACAAGGGCTGTATAGCAGACAGTAAGGAGAATTACTAATGAGATCTTGGGAGTTAAAGAGTTAAATAACGTTAGCCTCTACCTCAAAACATGATAGCCTAATGATTAGCGCAATGAACTGTGGGTTAAGGGGTCTGGTTTTAACCCTTTACACCCTAACATCAGTATGCATATTCTCCATACTGTTCTTGAGACACTTCCAAAGAGGCTGACAAGGAGAATTTGTTTAAAAATCAAGAGCTGCTTTAGTTGGTGATCATCTCCTTTATTCTCATGACCTCCATGTTAGATTCAGGAGTGATGTTGTAAGGAGAAGTTTGATGTTAGTCACTCTTAGGAGTTAACGGGTTAATTGAGACCTTGTGGGGTCATTATGTTGTTTTGGGTTACATACTTTACTCTCACAGTGCCTGTGGCATTTACCAAGGAGTATAAATGCGCATGTGCACAGATACTGTCAGGGGGGAACCTGATGAATGTTGGAGGGAAGGGGAAGGGGAACAACCTCTGATTAACTACATGCAGCATCTCATCAGCATCTCTGTTTCAGGTTGCTAAAGAACACAGCATGGACTGTGCATGGGATTTGGAACAATTTGGTTATGAAGAACTTAAAGTTTCATCCAAACTGGAACTTTTCAAGGTTTGTGTCCCTTTAAGAATCGATTTCTTTAACCTTCTAACTCTCTTGAGTGACCAAGATAGAATTTCTCCTTACAATATCAATCCAATATCAAGCAGACAAGTGATGAGAATAAAAGAAAAAGATCAATTAGGAAAGTATTAGTTGATCAAACACCAAATTCCCTGAACTAACATCATAAAAATTGTATGGTAGACAGTGAGGAGAATTACTAAGAAGATCCTGGATTGAAAGGGTTAAATTTTAATGCTTTCTTCTCAATTTGGTTTGTTTAGCTTGTCTTGAAGATTTAACTTAATATATCTTTAATCTGTTATCTTCTAGTTACTTCTGGAGAGTCAGTTTGATCAGAATGAAAAGCTCAAGAGCTCTGTAAACAAAACATTTGAAGCCGATGAATTGCGAATGCAGCCAATTGGACGGGATCTAGATGGGTTTATATATTGGTATCATGAGGTAATAAGTAAATTTGTTTTTACTTGGGAAATTTTATTAACCCTTTAACTTCTAGAAGTAATTAACATGAAACTTCTCCCCTACTATCCATACATAATTCAGCAAACAGGTTTTGAGAATGTTAAAACTTATCAGGTAGAAGCTGCTATCAAAATCTAGCACCAAGTTCTCATAACTTATGTACAAGGAAATGTGTAGCAGCCAGAGGGGAGAATTAACAATCAGATCTTGGGATTTAAAGGGTAAAGGTGAAAGTGATTTGTACCTGGTTTTCTGCACTTTTCTTTTCCATCTGGGGAATTATTATAATTCCCAGATGGAAAAAAGTGAATGAATCAACCCAGTTTGAAATTGTTTCAGCCTGATCTAAACCTTTTGGCCTCAGGAGTGACCAGCATCTGATTTCTCCTTACAATATCACCCCTGAATGACATATTAAGGTCACAAGAATAAAGGAAATGATCACAATAAAGAAACTTTTGATTATTACATAAATTCTCCTTGTAAGCACCTTTGGAAATGTATGGTGAAAGTATTGAGAATATGCATCCTGATGTTAGGGTTTAAAGGGCTAGATACAACTACATACACATGCTTTTTGGTTGGTCCCTCTTTGATGCACTAACTTGAGATGCAAGTTTCACTTAAAAATGATTCTTACCGGTAATTAGAAAAAAATGGAAAAATGAATAGCATAAAACAGTGATTGCATAATAAGCACTAGTATTTTCCTCATAATTTGTGAAGGCAAGGCCAAATTCAACTTGACCTACTTGTACAAGGAATCTTTTCATTTACATGTGGTCTGTGGAAAACTGACCTTTCACTTTTGAGTATTTTACAATTCAAGCAAATTTCTTGAACCATGTCAGAAGAAAAACCCTGCTGTTATGTGGCTTTTGGTGATTTTTTTAATAATGATGTGTGGAATAACATTGACATTTTGGCAGATATGCAAACATGTATGCAGTGATGAAAACTGTATTTCAACTTCACAGACTTGATATCACAATGTTGATGATCAAGAATGAATCATAATCTTCTCTCTGAGCATACATGTGACAAACCTTACCTAACTGCACCATTTAGATTTTTAATAACATTTGGATCACAATGTCAGTTCTTCATATTATCTGCTACTCATTTCTCATAAGTTTAGTTCTGAGAATTTCTGTTTTCATCCTGAACTCAATATCTTCCGTCATCTTTTTACCATTCTGCTGGATGACATGTTGATATCATAAAAAAGAAAAGTACTTACAGGTCAAATCCTGGCTATAAAAGTGTTATGATGCATGATGTAAACTTTGTTTTGTGTTGTCCTTTAAAAAACAAGTTTAAAGTGGATTTAAAAGGTCATAGACATTGGTGCTAGTAATACATTGTAATCCATTTTGTAGGAATAATGATTGATGTTAATGCAATATTATATAAAGTATTGGCTAGTTTAGTTTGGAACTGGTTAACTGTCCTGAATGGTGACCAAAACTTAATTTGCTATTTTAGAAATGCATTTTTTAAATTATAGGATGGTGCCAATGGTGTGAGGCTGTACACTACAGAAGAAGATGAAGTGAGCTGTGAATCATGGAGATTGTTAGCCAGGTAGACAACTGAATCCGATTTTTCTTCATCCAATGCTTAAATTTTACATGGAAGCATGATCAGCTAAGTTAAATACACCAATTTGTATGGCAAGAAAAATTAAATGGGACCATGATATAAGTCGAGCAAAAGTTTGTACAAATTTGTAACAATGAACAAGGCACATAGGTGTGAACATTGTTGATTAGGAATTTTTCAAGTTTATTTTTGAAGGATGCTAGAGTTGCAGTGTTTGAATTGCTCAACCATGGGCACCTTGCTTTCTCCAGCAGTGCACGAGATGCTTCTCACTTGTGAAACCATCTATTGGTTGAGCAAGGATGTATCCAAGAATCTTTCAGGGGAGGGGGGTCCAAACTTTGATGGAAAGAGCAAAGAAATTTTTTTTTACAATTTTTACACGACAAGTAACAGGCACTCATGTTTTTGCAAGAATTTTGATGTGAGATGAGTGATAAATTAAGCCACAGGTTTGAAACAAAAGGTGTGCACTTCCTGGAACCTCCCTCTGGCTCTACCACTGTTGAATATCCAACTGGAACATCGTGACAAACTTGAAATGTGCTTTGTTGATTATGACAAGTATTCAATTGTTTTGCAGAGAGACAGATGAACTAGCTTCTATTGTGGAATATTTGGAAACCAAGTCTGTTGTGAATCCCAAAGAAATAGCTCTTGCAAAAAGAGAAGAGATGAAAAAGAAAGGAGAAATAAAGAGTCCTGGGAAAAAGAGAGGAAGAAAAAGTAAGTTCTGTTGGAATTTTTTTTCATTGCCATAGAAAATCTTTGATAAAATTATGAATGATTCATGGAGATCTGTGCTTTTGAGAAAGGTCTTCTTACTGCTGCTTAACTTGTTTTGCAATGTTGGTTCTGCAAATTGGACACTGGGAAAGATTTTAAGAGTTTCAGTTCCAGGTCAGATATGATAAGCCCTCTTGTAACCCCCTGTCTGAGCTGCATAATTTAATGACAAAAAATAGACAGGGAAATATTGACCATAATTTTCTACCTTCTTTGCCAGATTTTCTTTTTATCCCTCACGAGATACACTTTTTCCAAGGTTCAAGCAGTATTTTAACCCATTCACTCCCAATATCTGACTGTTAATTCTCCCCTCCAGCTTTTACACAATTCCTGGCATATAAGTAAGGGGAGTTTGGTATTAGATCTAGATAACAACTTCTACCTGATAAGTTTAGGTATTCTCATTTGCCCTCTGCTGGATGATTTACGAATATTATAGGGAGAAGTTTCATGTTAATCACTTCTGGGAGTTTAAAGGTTAACAGGACGTGTATGATATTCATTACAGTTCACCTTAGGAGCATTTTAACATAAACATTTTCCCCTCAAAAAGCATATTCCATTCCAAGATCTTTGTATGTTCCACTAAAAATATACATTACGGGTAGAGTTCCATAGAAATGTTTGAAAAGAAATTGAAAATAAAAACACATGTAGCTAACCTCGCAAAAATATTTTATAAGTTACTTCTCTACAACACGATTCCCTCTCTTTTTGCTGTCATCTGTAGGCAAAAAGAAAGAATCAATACAAGAGGAGGACTATGACGATGACAATCCATGTGCAAGATGTTTTTCAAATGTCAGACCAGATTCGGTGAGTTCATTTAAATTTTACTGTGCTGTAAAAATTGAGTTGGAAAAGCTAACCACTGAGGCTAAACCCTTAACCCTTCAATGCCCTAAGAGTGACTAATATCTAATTTCTCCTCACAATATCACCACTGAATTACACATTAATGTCATGAGAATAAAGGAAGTGATCACCAACTCAAGAAAATCTTGATTGTTAGACAAATTCTCCTTGTCAGCTCCTTAATAAATGTATAGAGAACAGTATGGAGGATATAAATACAGATGTTCGGGTATAAAGGATTAAGTAAAAAGAAATTTAAAGAGACGGTAGTTGGTTCTAAATCGTTGCTAAACTTTCAACACGTTTGAGCACAGCTCATAAAAAGCAAACATTTTAACTTTCATCGCCCACCTGAGGAGCAGAGTTTGGCAACCGAAAACAGCTTTAAGTTATGGCGGGCTGCCTTCTGCTGCACAGCGCTCGTGGTAACTTATAGATATGATAAAGATCAGAAGGAAAGATACATTTTACCTCGTCCAGGATATACAGCTTGAAAACCATGACTATATTGTCGTTACCTCGACCAGAGGCTTGTTACTAATTTTTGTTTTATTTTGTCACAGATTTTACTGTGCGATAAGTGCGATGCTGCGTACCACACCGCTTGCCTTCGTCCTCCTCTGCTGACCGTGCCCCAGGGAGACTGGTTCTGCCCTTTCTGTCAACAGGTAGAGCAAATTTGAAAAAAAGAGTCCGTTTTCCGTTAAACCATTATAGATTCTCTTTAGAATGTTAAATTTTATCTGGGGAAACGCCCATGAGAAAGCAATTTTCAGTGCAGAGTCCAAAGTAATCAAATGCATTGGTCTTGCCTTGCAATACTTTACGATAGCTCCAGCAATTTCGCGCCAGTTTTTGCAACCAATAAGAATGTAAAGAGCGAGCTAATCACGATTTGGTGACTCGTGTTTTCCCGCGCTTGAAGTGACTCGTGTTTACTTCAAATTTTCATTGGCTTGTGGTGTTATTTTCTTAGCTCTCATTGGCCGATATGGTTACGCTTGGTTTGTCGCTCTAAAATTAAATGCGAGCGCTTAATTTTTTAATTTCATCTTATCCTTATACCGAGGGGAACGTTTTCTTTTTCACTCAATCTGGCAGTATCTACCTTTCTTTCTTAGTCCAAGTTCTATTTTGATAGTCTGAGGCCTAAACACGTTACCAAGCGTTAACTTAGCAAAACCTTTTTCAAGGTGGAGGATGCCAACAGTCTGCTTCTGCAAGGATCGTCTACTTGTTTTTTTTCGCGGAGGGGGTGGGGGGGCTTTCCTATAGGTAGAGAATTTACTCCACTAGTCGCGTCATACCAAACGCAAATATGTGCGTGCGCCATTAAGCGTAGTAATAAATTACTGCTCCTGAAGAAGAAAAAGAAATTTTTAGATCCAAAAGGAAATCACTCTAAATTTTTTAGAAATCCATGTAATAAAAGCGACTTGAATATCAATCGCTGTCATAAACTTGGGATGTCCTTGGGATGTCCTTGGGATGTCCTTGCGATGTCCTTCGAAGGTTTATGAGAAGAGTTTAATTAGTGTAACTTTGCTTTTTTTCAGTTAGCATTGTTGGATATTCTAAAGGAGAAGAAGACAAGGTTAGCTGCCAGGCTAAAGTTGAGACAGAGACAAGCAAAAAGGTGACATTCTTACGTTTCTTTCACTTTTTACATATGCTTCTACCTTATAGTGTGCGTGACTTTTAACGAATGAACGTGCAAAACGAACAAATGGAATAGCGAATGTAAGAAAAAACGAAGGGACGAACCTACCTTGAATGATCTAGCGAGCTAACGAAGAACGAACGAGTAAATTAACCTACGAACCCATAGAATGAAGGGTTCAGCGAACGAAGACCGAACGAACGAGCCGAGGAACGAGCAAAATGAATCAACGAATCATCGAACGAACGATCGAGCGAACGAAGATTGAAAGAACATATGAAACAACGGAGCTGCGAACGAACAATCGAGCGGGCGTACGAAGACCGAACGAACGACCCGACGAACGTACGAATGAACTAACGAACATTCGTACGAATGATGAAGCGACCGAACAAGGAAACGATTAATTATTGAACGGAATGAATGTATCAAGGGAGCAAAGTGTCATTAACTTCTCCTAACTCTGAACAAGAGCTTCACAAGAGCCACATCGGTGGATGACGACCGCTATCCCCGTTGCGTCATCCGTGTTCGTCTGCTCGTCAAATTGCTGGTCACAATCACAAAAAATGATTCTCGCCTTGATAGTTTATTAGGAAAAACGAGATTTTTGCATCGTAGTTGCATTGCCATCTGGTGTAACATGAGACAGACCTTCTTGGAGGAGTAACAGTCGAGTTTCGTTCATCATCTAAATGATTGGAATCGTGTGCAAAAGTGCGATGAAAATTTGACAATTTTTGCCTTGATATGGTATGCGTTACATTAGGAAAGCTATATCTTAAGAACACCGTAAAAGAATTAGTTCAATAGAGGCATTGACTCTGGATTTTACCGTTGATTTGTGCCTTGTTGTCTGCAGCTAGCGAGGGTCTCTTTCAGTTTGGTATTAAGACGAGAATTCGTTTTTGTTCTGCAGGCCAAATTTCTTCTAATGCTCAGGATTTCATAATCGTAATCCAAACCTGCAGTTTTCCTTCCAACGTCACCTGAAGAGTAAAGTCTATTGTCCGTTTATTGTTGATGAAGGTGTGAATACTACGTCATTTTGAGAGTTACCCCTTTACACCCCAACATCAATATGCACTTTCTCCATACTGTGCTCTAATCATTTCCTAAGGTTCTGACAAGGAGAATTTGTTTAACGATCAAGAGCTTCTTTAGTTGAGGATCACTTCCTCAATTCTCATGACTTTTGGCTTTGATTCATTACTGACACTGTAAGGAGAAATTATATACCAGTCACTCCTAGGAGTTAAAGGGATAAAAACCATTTTGCTTGAATCATACGCATTGCTATGCCTACACCAAACTTCGTAATGTGGATAAGACAAAAAAAAATTGCCCTTTTTAAGTGTTTTGCTTGTTTGTCAAAATTTCTCGTAGTCTCCACTCCACCAGCTATCTTTGCATAACGGATCACAAGCTTTCCTAAATTACAAACGTTTAAGGAGGAAAGCAATCAAGAGCTTTTTTATTTGGTGATCATTTCGTTTATTCTCCTAACGTTAATGTTTGATTCAGGGGTGATATTGTAATAAGAAATTAGGAACCATTCTATTAGAAGTCTAAGGGTTAATATAATTTCGGTTACAAAAGAAGATATAAAATTGGATTAATTCTGAATTGAAATCAATTCTTTGTGGCATAAATGTGAGTAGAATCCCTAAAGTATGTAGAAACTTAAACCTGCACAACATCGATTCAAAGAGGAGGAGCAGTTGATTAGATTATTAATCTTAAAAAAATCTTCAATTTTTTTTTCTCTTCAAAGAAGAAAAATTTGATATCTGAATTCAGAAAATAAAATCGGCCAAAAATAATTGGCACTTCTTTAAGGAGTGGTTAAAAGTATGTTTAATACTGTAGATATATATATATATAAGATGAATTTAAAAAGGGAATTGTAATTGTCTAAGAATTGTACTATTTTGTATGTTTCCTTTTGGGAGATTTTTATGAAGCGTAATTAAATTATTTTGAAATGAATAAATTTAGAGATATTAACTTTGAATCAGTCGTCGTTATTTCGTTTTGTTTCTATTATCCCTGTGCGATTTTCTGCCTAGCTACAAAATCCAGTTTCCAGAATAAATTATCAGTTCCACCTACTATCGCGGCCAATTTTTTTCCTTCAGTATATAATAAAATAATTATTTGATTCGGTTTTTGTGATAATCAAGGTCTCAGTAAGGGTACCTCCACCTTTATTTTTCCGGATATCAAAGAAACCTTTTCCGATAATTGTTTAATTTGAGGCTGAACTCAGCCGATAGCGCCTAGAGATCGATGGCGAATAATCTACCTATTTTCGTATCAATCTAGTTGTGGTTCAAAACTTAACAACCAGACAAGCCCAAGATTTTATTAATTTTGTTACCATTCGCACGCTATCCATCACGGATTAGGCTGCGAGTGACGTTACTAATTAGATAACGACATGTAGTACGATGTTTACACTTTCCAAATTATTGATTTCGGTTTAAGTGTTCTATTTAAGTCGTGTCTCCAGTCGTCGGCACAGATGTCCACGAAGGAGAACAACTGTTTCATTAAACTGGAGTTGCTCTGAGCCGTTTGAGTGGCACATGTTCCACTATTGATTCAGTGGTCATGCGTGGCAGGTCAAAGGCTGTATGCTTATGATCAAGAAAGATGAGGCGTGCAGCACATTCTTAATACGTAGTTGTCTGCCATCATTGTGGTGGTTGTTGTCGGGAAAAATTGAAAATATTTCCCTTTATTGTGGGAAAATAATGATTGTTAGTTACCAAATGTGCCACATCTCGTTTCATCATCACGTTTCGTTATAAACAAGGGCGATAGGAGCGCATTTGGTTTCTATCTAGTACGCATGCGTAGTTTTGCATATGGTAAACAGTTATTTTTATGTGTTTTTTAGGTTGGGTTTTGCTGGTATTGATCTGAACAACATCTTACAGGTATTTGATCGATTTTTCCTTCACTTACTAAATTATCTTTTTGTTTACATGTTTATTTACCTTCTTGTTAATTTTGTTTGTTTATATTTTGTCGTTGTTGTTGTTGTTGCTTTTTTTTTTTAAGAGATTTGTTGAAAGTTAGTCCAAGAGAATTCTGAGTGGCTTTATTGTCATGTTAACACAATTTAGGATGTGGGTACAGTTAATTATTCTGTGATGTGTTGCCTAAAACGGCTTCATCTTTCGCCTTTACCGTATTATTTAATCCTTTAACTCCCAAGATCTCATTAGTAATTCTCCTTACTGTCTGCCAAACAATTCTCATTATGTTAGTTTGGAGAATCTGGTATCTGATCAATTAATATTCCCATAATTGATATTTTTCTTTATTCTCGTCACTTGTCTGCATGATATTGTATAGATATAGTAAGGAGAAATTCTGTCTTGGTCACTCATGGGAGTTTAAGGGTTAAGTCCACAAAGAAAAAAAGAAATATTTAGGATACTTTTTTTGTTTGCTAAAAGATTTTACGTTGGCTTTTTACTTACGCCTGCCGTTTTGTGTCGTGTTTTAATTTTAGATTTTTTTTTTGCAACATTTCACACTCCTTAGTTGTGCTTTTATTCAATTCTATTACCCCTACACACGATTCTGTTACACTTATGAATCATTTATTTTTTTAAATCTAATCATCGATGTATTATTGGCAAACTGTGTTTGTCGCCAATTTCTCTTGTTTTTAGTACCAGTCACTATTTACTCGTTAAGGTGGTGGGGAGGGGGGGGGGAACATGACTTTGAGTCGTCGCAGAGTCTGCTGCCAGTAAGGGGGGGGGGAATTATAGGACTTTTCAAAGCCTTATGGAGGGTTAGGCAAATTTTATCGTCAAAATACTCCTACCGGCCCCCTCTTCTCCCCACCTGGGAGGATAAATAATGACCAGACCTTGAAAGGGAAATAAATGGAAAAATCCTTTAACTTTAAATTTGTGTTCAAACACACTTTTTAAATTTGCTATTTGGAACTGCTTTTGCGTTGGTCACTGTTGTTCTCCGTTTCTCACGGTACGAACTTCGTACTGGGTTAGTAGGAGGTGTATATTTACATTTTTGTTTTATTTTTCATCATCATAGAGAACATCAGACGACGAAGAAGATCTAGGAATCAGACGGTCTGGTCGCTCGAGAAAAAACGTCGACTACACTTTTAAAGAATTCGAGGACGATATCACATCGGCCGTCGAGAACGACAAAAAGAGATTCAAAGGAGAGGAAGTTAATGGAGAGGAAAAACATTTGCTGTTCTCCAAACCGGCTTACGAGTCCGGAAACCTAGAGCGGTTACATCAGCGGAACACCCGAAGATCTCGTCGACTGATGGATCTTGATTACGAAAGCGGCTCGGAGTCTCCGACGAGCGGATACGAGTACGAAGGCAACTCGGATGAGGATGTTCGGAGGAAATCCGAGGCGCTTACTGGGCTTCGAAGGACTCGAAGGATTATTGATGAAGACGATGATGATAATGATAGCAAAGACGGAGAGGATTCAACGAGAACCGAAGGTAAGAAAGGAAATGAACGTGACAATGAGGATAGTTCAAAGGAAAAAGCTGTAACTTCAGAATCGAAAGGAAATCGAAAGGACGATAAGAAGTCGGACAATGAGCGACTAAAGACGAGTGTAAACGGAGGGGAGGCCGTAAAAACAAACGTTGCGAGCTCAGGGAGCGAAGCAGAAGCTGTTAATATTCCACCTGCTCACGCGCTCCATGGCAACAAGATCCATCCACACTCGAGGATTGCATCTGTGGCGCCAGTTGCTCGTACCCAGCCTTTGGCCGACGTCAGCAAACACAGGAATCCCTCCAGCTACCCTCCTGAAGGCATATTTCCTAACCCACCAAACTTTGAAATGTTTAAGCCACAGTTCCCTACAAAACAGGCCCCAAATTATGTTGGCCCCAATTTCGGAAACGTCAATTTAGGAACGTCAACCCTCACTGGAAATAACTTTGCAGGAAACGGCTCGGGAACCAGAAATATTTCTCCCAGTAATGTACCAGGGATGTCTCCGGGCGGGCCCTCTTTTCCAGGGGCCCAGGGAGTTGGAGCTCCAAATATAAGGACAAATTTGGGTGGACCTAATATGTCGGGTCCCAATCCAACGGCACCTGGTTATTCAAGTTCAAACGTAAACTACCCTGGAACAAATTTAAGAGGGCAGAATATGTCCGGGACAAATTTCGGAGAGACTTACGCAGGTGGACTCAACAACGTAGGTACTGCTATAGGTGCCAACTTCGGAGGGCCAAATTTTGGTGGAAGTAACACAACAGCAAATGGCGTCGGAGGAGGTTTTGGTGCCCTGAAAAGTCCAACGCAGAATATCGCGGGCTCGTTTTGGACAGGCCAGAACAACTTTAATAACATGTACAACTATTCTACACCTGGAGGGACGCCATCTCCCGTCAGTAGTCCCCCAGGTAACCAGACTTTACCGCCACCCTACCCCGCTGCGGCCAGGTTTACGAATTCAAGTCAGTACGGTAACTATAATCAACAATTTCAAGGGAATTCTAACTTGCAGAACAATTATGTTGTACCACAACAGAGTGGAAATTTCTCGGATTCTAAGTTTTTTCCTGCTACCCCTCAACAGCCACCTCCCCCTTATCCCTCGGGTAATTCGCTGAATGCAAACTTCTACGGGAATAGAACACAGGAAGGTAACGTTACGGGAAACCAGTGGACGTATCCCGAGGGTTACGGGTATTATCCCGGTCAAGGCAATGCAGCGGGACAGAGTTTTTAAGATCATACCAACACCATCTGTTTAGAGAGGTCGCATGCAATTGAATTGGGGTTTCACAATTTGATAACATGCCCTTGTGAGAAATGCGAAAATTTTATCGTAGCATCCATTCATAATGCAGCGCGAAGGGTCTAAACCAAGGAATAACCAATCTATCCATTCAATCCCCTTTGAATTAAAACATTTTATACTGGTCCAGTTTAAAAGTCGCTATTCAAGCAACCACATAGGCAGGTTTACCGGTGTGAATGGACAACTATAGTTCTTAGCATGTAATTGTTTTGTTCACGTTAAGAAAACTAGAAACAGGTTTGAAGAGGGACAATTCACCGAAAGTAAAATGATGGTGGCGTTAATTTTCCTTCAATACCCTTCGAGGAATTTTTTGGCCATTTGAAGATTGCTTGTTAGCTCATTGAGACTACCGTTTTGTTACGAACTTTTCCCTCGGACCGTGCTATATTTAACCTTCGATATGCTAGGTGTGAAGTCTTAGGCACTTTTCTGTGCAATTATGTCGGGGAATGTTGGAGTTTTTGTGCGCAAAAAAGGGTTATTGATAAGCTTTTTACTCTGCTTGTTTCTTCGTTTCGGTGGTCGTCTTTTTTAAAGGCAGAAATTTGAAAGTTTTGGGAATTCCAGGGGGTTGTTGATCAGAATGATAAGAAACGCAAATACATACGCATCAGAAAAGTTTCAGTTTATTTGTTGAAACGTTACAAGTTAACGTTATTTTTCTTATTTAAGGGGGCTGGGCTATTTTGATGAATTTGTCACGCAAGGTTATACAAAGTGACAGTTATGGTTAGCAAAGATAATTTTGTCACGCAGGGCTGTGCAAGCCTGAGCGATAAATGAAACTGATATAGCTGGCCATAGTGTAGGCAAAGTGATCTTTTTCAAGTGTTTTTACATGCCAAAATATGTATCATATCTCCCATTTTTATCCATTTAAAACAATCGGAAAACCATTATATTCTTTCCCTTAAGCATGGGTTTTGTTGGAAATGGCTTCACCAAGCGCCTTCGATTATTAATTTTCTGAAAATATATTATTTTTGCTTAAGATTCCATCTTGCTTAACAGCTGAGGAAAAGAAATTAGCTCAGTGAACATTAGGCCACGTTAACAGAGTAGTTCTATCAAAAGCCTCTGCGGCCATTGTTTAAACACGTCACGCAATGCCTTCTCAGCGAGAAATCGCTTTGCGTGACAAACCAAACATCGGTTGCGAAGCATGCAGGACCATGATATCAATAAATGCAGTCAAAATGATCAAAATATATAAAAATGTTTTAAAATATATCTTCAGTTAGCCAATGAGAGCCATCGTAAGCGCTCGTTATATATTAATCGCTTATTAATATCATAATTTACCCATTTATTAGTATCATTTTATAGCCGAGTTAGAACGATATCAGTGTCTAAGCAACTTCGCACCTATTCCTCCCTTAACCTAATATCAACCCTTACTTGTTATCAGTCGACTGTTGTTTTTTAGGAGGGGTAGGTATGCAGTTGTTCAGATACTGACATTAATCCGCTGGTTTTATTGTCACGTCACGATTTGTCTCTCTCCGAAAAACTAAACTAACTTTAAGGTTAGCTTTTACGTTTTAAGTTCATCTGAAATCCATTTTAATCTTTTTAATCATTGGTTATCCTTGCTCCTTCCTCGTTCATCATTGCTTACTTTGTGTTTTTCTATCTCATTGTACAGTTATGTGGTCTCTTTTTCAAGGTGATGATGGTTTTGCAAAACTAATAATCCTTACTTAACATCCTCTTCCTACAATCTCTTCACAATTCATCCTCGGCCATACTCGATCTTACTTTTGTACTCTACGAACTTTATCTGTGACTCTTCTTAGATTAATCTGTATGTTTCCCTGTCTCTCGCGTCAATATATCAATTCTCATTACTCCAGTCCTTTTTATGACATTCAGAGAATTTTAAGACATCATCCCAATTGTTTGATATTTCCTTATCAGTTACCATTATACATTGAAATAAATTTTGATGATATTTTCAGTCCGTACTTAATTTTTTTAAAAATTTACTTCATGAAAACACTAATTTACTCTTTCATTTATACCTTCGTTATAAATGTAAATAATGGCATGTTGGTAACCTGTAAATGTCACCTCCAAATGTTTTATAAATAAAAAAAAAAAATGCCACCGATGAAAATCGCGTTCAGATGTGTATTTGTTCATTTAATGATGTGGAGGGGGGGGAGGGGAAGGGAAGAAGAGTTACAATCTTGACAGGATCTGAGGGGGTGAGGAACAGGGGGAATTTGTTTCGTAGCGAGGTTTCACTACTTCATATCCTATTTTTCGAATGATGGTGGGGGGAAGGGGGAGGGAGAGAGGCGGTCTTGTACTAGTAATGATCCTTTCAGGTAATTTAAAAGTCATAGTTAATTCTATACACGAAGGCTCGTATGCTCTCAAAGGCTTTTGAATTTCGACACATTTTCTTGGAAATGAAGTCTCGAATTCACAACTGTGGTTTTCTTCACAGACGTAACCTAAATGAAATTTGGCAATAATTTTAAAAGGAAATTGAGTTAGTTCCAAACAACATTCATCTCAAATCTCTTAAAATCGATTGATACTTTTTTAATTACTTTCTCGTTAGTACAAACAGATCTATAAACTCTAGATACACCGCCAAGCTCACAAAATTCCCTTCTACCTATGCCGCACAAATTTCAGAGCTTCATTTACTTACAAGAATAAACCTCAAAACAATACCATTGAATACTAAAATTGAACCTCACACTCTAGGACCGTAGGAAACTTCTTTGGAGAGGTCACGGCTCTGTGGCCCTCAACACATTAAGGAAGGTGACATCTTTAAGGGGACACGTTCCGCGGTCACCACAGTGTACCTTAATGGGCCCTTCGAATTCCTTAGTAACTCACCTATTCTGTTACCGATGAAAACGTTATTTTAACAGGGACAACCGTCGGAGCACGTCCTTCTTCGTTTAACAACTGCCTACTAGTTATGTACTAGGAATTGGGCCCATTTACCATTTCGAGCAAAATGATGCCCCAAGGCCCCTCTCAGGGAAGCGCTTCGGACAGCTTCGACCGGATCTAAGAGAACTCTCTATTTGTCGGACTCTTCTTTGTAAACGTAGTTTACTCAATAAAAGTCATCGTCATCATCATCATCATCCACGTCATCATCTATTCCAGTGACCATTGTCCAGGGTTTATTTTTATTGTTGTTTCCCGTACCAAGATCATCGTCGTTTTCAAGTCCTTTCAGCGCCATGATATCTCCTTCGGCCAGATCTTCGTCTTCGTCAAAGTCATCTTCGTATAAGCTGCAAAAAAAAAATAATAAAAGGCAACTAGTTGAGAAAAGAAAAAAAGATGTTGCTGCTGGGATGAATTTTCCAATACAAAAATTTTCTTGTCGTTTCCTTCAAAATCAATTTTCCCAACTTTCCCCTAGCATTGATGCGGTTTTAAGAGTTGGTTGATTTTTGTTATTGTTTCATGTCTGTTTTTTGACTGACGGCAATCATGACTAAAACCAGACTAAGGTTATCATGCAACCGCGCCAAAAACTCACAAGAATCTACCGCGTAAGTCATGTGGCCTTACCCTTCTGTCTGTTCATTGGCTCCTTCTTCAGCTACCAGTAAGTCATATTCTTCTTGAGCATATCTCTCCCAGTCTGACCTTTCGTTAACATCGCCATCTTGCAAGTCCTACAAATTAAGTGTCATGTTAGTACTGAATAATTAATTTATTTTTTGATCGAATTAATGAACAAATGACTTACTTTAAAGCGTCCACGTTCTAATAAGTACCCACGCTCTTAGGAGTGTCCACGCTCTGGTGAGCGCTCACGCTCTTATAAGCTAACCCACGCTCTTATAATTACCCACACTCTAATAAGCACGCACGCTCTAATAAGCACGCACGCTCCTATAAGCACCCACGCTCTGATAAGCAGTCACGCTCTAATGTGCGTCCAAGCTCCACTGAGCGTCCACGCTCTAATGAGCGCCCACGCTCTTATAAGTACTCACGCTCTAACAAGCACCCACACACTAATGAGCGTCCACGCTCTAATAAGCACCCGCGCTCTGATGAGCATCCACGCTCTAATAAGCGCTCACGCTCTAATGGGCGCCTACGCTCTGAAACGCGCCTTCCCCCGAGCAAGCGCCCACCTGAAAGGCCATATTTCAAACCTGTGCCTTTCCCTCTCCCCCCCCCCCTCGAATAAGCGCCCCTTCTTCCCTCACTTTCTTGAATAGTAGAGAAACACGCACAACCTGTTTCTATTGCTACTATTTATAACCTTTTAAGCTTTAACTACAAAGGAATCAATACAGGAGAGTACTAAGCGCCCCCCTTGACTAAGCGTAATCCTTCCAATACGCATCCCTACCCCCTTCTCCTTTTAGCCTTTTTTATAAAAGCGCCAGGACGCTTATTCAAGGGAATACGGTGACTTTAACAATGATATGGGATCGATATTTCTCAATTGCATGACCTTAACAGTAATATAGACATGAACTTCTTACCCTCGCTGCAGCAAAAGGATCTCTCTGTTCGTATTCCAGATATTTATCCAAATTGAAGAACGTGTTAAAGAAAATGTAGGCCAGTTTACAATTCTTTAGGTCACTCAGCGTTACGCATCCTGTAGAAATATACGATATGACCCTTTATTTTTTAAAAATTGTAAAAACAGCTTCAACAAAAAGTTAAAGTTGGTGGTTCCTTAAATACAGAATAGTAAGTGTAATTTTGGAGTTGTTTTTAGTGTTTTAAGACAGCGATCGTACCTGGAGTTTTAGGCTTCACCATGTCCAACATCTGAGAAAGAAGACAAGGAAAAAAACATTACAGACTGTAAATAAATAAACTTAATTGTAATAGTCATTGTCGCATTTCATCATCATCATCATCATCACTGTCACCTCTGCCACAGTCACATCCCCATAACAGCGAATGTCATAATCTCTATCTAGCATTCCCCAATCCAAGTTACATGTATTAACAGGTAATAAAGGAAGAATTTTCGCTCTAACGAAGGGCAAACACTCGAAACGTCAGTTTTAAACTCTTTACGGTGAGAGGATGAGATTGGCCAATTGGCGTTATCAACTCAGTTGATAATACTTATTACCTTGTTATACTTCCCCACCGACGCAGCACCACTGACAGTTTCTTTAGAAACTTACCCCGTTTATTCAAGTTACATTTACTCTAACATTTCCCCAGTTCTGGAAAAACTGCACTAGGGACCTAGACTTGCGTCAAATTCTAAGCCTCGTTCATAAGACGAAGACTTCACAAATAAATTCAATCATATATATATTGCAAACAAGGAAAGCCCATTGCCATGTTGCGTTAATTTTTTATTACTTGTTCAGAATGGCTCATTCTTGAAGACCCAGGGGCTGCGAGTCGATTTCAAGCTGGGGAAAAAAGGAGGGGGGGAGAAGAGAGCGGGAGTCACAGCCCCTGGGTCTCTGAGGACGGGATTTGCTCAAAACTCACTCAGTAGCTGCAAATGGATTCTAAACCAACTACATAGTTTATTTTTTATTAAAAGTCGACAAACCTGACATAGGCAGTCTTCAAACAGCATTGTCTCTATGCCCAGGACATCCATTTTGGAAATTTGTTCAGTATAGAAATACTCCAACTCATACATGGACAGTACACCATCTCCATCTAAATCCATACAGCGAAACCAGTACTCAATACTGTGGAGAGAAAAGGCATAAAATGACGAACACTCCAAAGCTCTTGATCAGCATATACCTGGCTTCTTTCCTTCCTAGCCTACCCTCCTCAAGAAGGAACTAACTGAAACCAAGCTTTAAAGGAAGCTAAAAACTTCCCTCCACATCATACGAACCTCCCGACCCCTCTGAGAAATGTTTTTACTTTCTTTTGCCACCAGTTTTCCTGTACCCTCTTGCAAATATGACTGGAAGGAGTTACTGAAAAATGTACGGCCAGCATAGCTTACTGTGGCTCACAAAGGCAAATTGAATTATCAACTTTGTTTATGAATTCTCCACTGCGAGAAATGTTTTCACTTTCTTTTGCCACAAGTTTTCCTGCACCCTCTTGCAGACATGACTGGAAGGCACAGTGAATGCTCAACTTTGTTTAATGACGAGGCAAATTTTCACTAACCATCACAAAGCAAGGTGGTTCTACTTTGCAGCTTCCAACTATCTGTTTAATTACTGTAAACTGATAAAAAATAAAAGGCACATATATTCACCTTCTTGGATGTTTCTTGTCCTCTTCAGAAAGAAGAAACCAAACAAACTCTGGATAAGTCATCTTGCCCTCCATGTAAGTGGGACCTCTACATCAGCACAATACAAGGTGCCCAAAAAATAAAACTGCTGTCAGTACAATAGTTGTGTTAAGAATTAAGTAGCAAGTCTAAGACTTCTTTTTTCAGTGGAACATCCTTCACCAAACACCATCAATTCAACTTTCCCTCAACATAAATTTTTAAATCACTTCCCTTCATTTATTTTTTTTCTTTTCAGCTTATTAAAACTATGCAGTATCTTGAATTTTTCTTCATTCACCTTGGTGCATGTTAACTACAGTTGAAAAATTGCAAGGTTGTTGTTGTGTGTCATTGCAGATGGGCAGAGGAAACTTGCCAGTTTTCAGACCATTTTGTGCCAGCTACTTTGTGAATTACATTGAAGACAGAAAATAAATATTTTGAACTGATAATAACATCGGTGTCTGGCTAAAAAAAAGTTACTC